CCATAATCTATACCAATCTATCACATCCCATACCCCGTGGCAACCTCTTAGATCCCATTCTTCATGGCAGCTTACCAGATTCTGTACTACAATGTAACCTATCAGATCTCATACTCTACAGCAGTTTATCAGAGCCCATACCCAATGGCAGCTTATCCCATCCTAGTCCCCTATGGCAGCCTATTAAAACTGATACCCAATGCAGCCTAGCATATCCCATACTCCATGGCAGCCTACCAGATCCCATACTCCATGGCAGTCTACCAGATCCCATACTCCATGGCAACCTCCCAGATCCCATACTCCATGGCAGCCTACCAGATCCCATTCTCCATGGCAGCCTACCAGATCCCATTCTCCATGGCAGCCTACCAGATCCCATTCTCCATGGCAGCCTACCAGATCCCATACTCCATGGCAGTCTCCCAGATCCCATACTCCATGGCAGTCTCCCAGATCTCATACTCCATGGCAGCCTACCAGATCCCATACTCCATGGCAGCTAGTCAGATCCCCTACTTCATGGCATCTCCCAGATCCCATACTCCATGGCAGTCTCCCAGATCCCCTAATTAATGGCAGCCTCCCAAATCCCATACACCATGGCAACCTCCCAGGTCCCATACTCCATGGCAGCCTCCCAGGTCCCATACTCCATGGCAGCCTCCCAGATCCTATACGTCATGGCAGCCTCCCATTCCCATACTCCATTGCAACCTACCAGATCCCATACTCCATGGCAGCCAGTCAGATCCTATACTCCATGGCAGCCTACCAGATCCCATACTCCATGGCAACCAGTCAGATCTCATACTCCATTGCAGCCCATAAGATCCTGTACTCAGTGGCGGCCCTTTCAAATCCCGAACCCTTGGCAGCGTTTTATTGCTCTCACTCTATACCTTCCATCTCTGAATCCTGATATGATAAGACCTTCTGTGGAAAGAAGTGATTGGTTGGCTGAGCTCACCCCTCAGGGGTCTTAATCATTCCCAGCTCTATAATAAAAGATAAAAATAAAACTTTGGGCTTTAGCTATACTTTGAACTGAGCTCAGGCACATGTGCATGTGTGACATCACAAGGAACAGTTGCCATATACAAGTCAATGGCTGGTCACCGAGCCATCCGATTCGGGTTTAGGAAACGTGCAGCCATGAGAAGTGCGATTACTAGGGGTGTCTGCTGGACATTTCCGTATAGTGACATTATCAGATGGGACTTCCTCACAGCCACATAGTCATGAAGGTAATGGTGCTGACCAAGGCGGATGGCGGCTTCAATGTTAATCTTAGGAGCGTAGTACGTCATCAGCGCACCCGCTTGCTTGTCGATCGTTCTTTAATTATCACCTATCAGCTTCTACGTGCTTGCATGTGATCATTATAACAGCATCGGCCAAGCAGCTCGGTGTGCTGATGACGTATCGTGCTTCCAGAACTTTCCACTCACATAGAGCTAGCCGTTGACTGCGTGTAGACCAATCGGTGGTGCCGAGTGAGCGCCAAATTCTGGAGTCTTCTTTTTTTATCACAGAACATTGGCCGTGTACAATCGGCAATTAAGAGTCTCCTGGTGCTGCTTGGCTGCCCAGAGGAGAATTGACTTTCCTCCTTCCAATTTTCCCCGGCAATTACCTCAATTACCCAACATTTCCCTCTTCCTTCGCGGCCCCGGCGGAGACACCGGCACAGCGCTCCTGGCGATCACCGGGGTGTGACGGACAATACACAGGAAAGACTCCCGTCTAATGTCACACGACAGGCCTAATAAGTCACACTGCAGCGGATCTCGTTACTCGGATAAATTGAAGCCGGAGACGGGAAGGCGAGAATTGTTTAAAAATTAAATCGAGATTTTCAAAGGAAAGGCGAAAATTAATGTAAAGCAGAAAAGTTGGACGACCCGAAACGGGGAGTCAATGAGCTAAACGCAAAGTTTGAAGGTTCCAGGACTTTCTTATTCCACCCCCATAGTAGAGATTTCCTCCTCCTCCCAAGAGCTGGCCCACTGCTTGCACCAGGGCTGAGGGCTCTTGAGAGGAGTACGGAGGCAGTATAAAGATGAATAAATGTCACCGGCACACCACCAGTATTGCAGTCCAAAGAGTTTGTTTATTGGAACGCCATGTGACCAAAACTAGCGCTTTCGGGGCCATGCAGGGTCCCCTTCATCAGGCTCAGCAATGACCCTGACAAAGAGTACGGAGGCAGGGTCCGGTGATGTTATCGGTACAGCAACCTTTCACCACCCATGATCTGCCTGCATTGCATAAAAAAGCAGAGACACCCTGTGATGGAAAAAAAAGGCATACAATAACTTTTATGTGTCAAGGTGTATAGACTCCAGAGAGAGAGACATCATCTGCCCCTATACAGAGCATTAGTATGACCTCATCTGGAATATCCTGCTCCGGTTCATGAATAGTATATTGGAGAACCAGAGAGAGTGCAGAGAAGAGCAAAGAAACTAATAGGAGGCCATGGAGGGGCTCTGAGATTATCTGAATGTATTAACATGTACTATGCATGCAGGAATGCACCTCAACATGTTGGTGAACGGGGTCTACCACGCGTGAGGAGCCATTGTCTACAAAAATCTGTGCACATCACATATCTTCAACCGGCCATAACCGTACCCCGGAGATCACCACGGACAGGACCGGATGGGACTTCTATTGGTGGACGTAAATCCATTATAACAGTTCAGTAAATAAAGAGCCACCTTCAAAAGACGTGAGAAGGGATTTCATTCAGAAACATGAGGGGATGTGTGGAGAACCATTATGAGGGGGTAATGAAAGGGGTACTTGTAATGTTCTTCTCACAAGCAGGACATCTCGGATAAGGTGACCTGTGGAGGAACTTGGTAATTATTAGCTTGTAAATGGGAAATGTAAAAAGTGCTTCAAGCCACGGATCAAAGGAATGCCGACGGAGGGGAAAGATAAGGAGCGCGAAAGTTCATTGCCTTTAAATTGTAGTCTGGTCGTCCGGGGAGGTGATGACCCTGGGAGGATGAGGGGGGGACGATGGGGGTAGGTCTGTGTTAGGACCAGGTCTAGTGACCCTATGCCCGTTGCATCCTCCCAGCTCCTACTGCTGGTTGCTCATGGCCACTGCACCCATCCCAGTCTTCGTGTGAGATGTGGCCTAATCAGTGCCACCAGCACATTCCATGACAGTCCCGACATTGATAAATGGACTTTTGTTGATTTCACTTAAATGGTGTGCTGGTGACATCATAGTTACATAGTATTTGAGGGTGAATAAAGACGTAAGTCCATCAAGTCCAACCTATTGCGTGTATGCATTTATGTTTGAGCAGGTGTGTGCGTGTGTGATCTGGTTCTTAGGCGTACCTGTACCCCTGTATGTTACCTGTACCCCTGTATATTACCTGTACCCCTGTACATTACCTATACCCCTGTATGTTACCTGTACCCCTGTATATTACCTGTACCCCTGTACATTACCTATACCCCTGTATATTACCTGTACCCCTGTATGTTACCCGTACCCCTGTATGTTACGGTCTCCGAGGAACTCGTCCAAGAGTTTCTTGAATGATTCCGCACTCTTAGCTGAAATCACTTCCTGTGGCAGCGAGTTCCAGACCTTAACCGCTATAACTGTGAAGAACGCCTAGCGTTGAAATTTTTCTTCAACTAATTTTTTGTTGGTGCCCTCTGGTCTTTGTTACGGAGCTAACCGTGAACAGTCTGTTAACAATGTTGCTGTCACTATTGCACAGTTTATACAAGAATATCATGTCCTCCCTTAATCTCCTAACCTCCAACGAGAACATATTTAATTTTAACAGCCTTGTTTCATAGTTTAGGTCCTCGACATCCTTTTGCAAACTTGTATATCTTTACAGCGCCATCAGTGGTCACTACAAGCACCCACCAGGATTTCAGAGTGCAGCAAGAACCTATATATGGCTCATCAATGCCATCTCTGTGTGTCTTGCTGGCTGCAGCAGTAGTCTAGTCAGCTGCGACCTAATGGATCTGTTCACACACCTCCAGCTCTGGGATTGGGCTTGTCGCTGGCGGCGCCCTATTTAACCAACATCAGCCTGTTCCCCGATGCTTGTGATAGATTCCTTCTCCCTTCTCTCTCTCTCTCCACCTGATCAAGTCTCTTCCTGTGTGTCTGAACTCTCGCTTGTCTGATACCTGACCCTCGGCTACATTTCCTGGGTACCCCTTTGTCTGCTGCCGGCCCTGACCTCTCGCTACGTTTCCTGGATGGGGGCTTCTGTAGCCTATCCAATGCCTGTAACCCACAACCCTCCATGAACATGAAAACCCTGAATTGTGTTCCTTTAATTCTGGCTACTTTGCATCTTAAAGTGGACCTGTCATTATTATTATTATACAGGATTTATAGATCGTCAACAGTGTGCGCAGCGCTGTACAATATAAGGAAGACATTACAATCACAATACAATTCAAGACATGACGGTGAGGAGGGCCCCGCCCCTGAGGGCTTACAATCTAAAAGGGAGGGGCCAGTGATACATGAGGAGGGAGCTGTGCGGGGATGATTGTTTGAGAAAGTGTCATTAGATTTCTTTTTTATGATAAGTCCGGATCAGCCCCTTGCTGCATCCTCTCATCTTGTGGCTTGTTAAAAAGTTACAATGTTGCAGTCTGATCACTGTGGGAGGGGGGACTGAAAAAATGCTTCCTCCTGCCTGCAGCAGACTGATCACTGGGGGGAGGGGACTGAGGAAATGCTTCCTCCTGCCTGCAGCAGACTGATCACTGGGGGAGGGGAGACTGAGGAAATGCCTCTTCCTGCCTGCAGCAGACTTATGACATCATCTCAGCCTATGCAAAGTCACTGACTGGAGCTCGGAAACTTTTTTGAACAATGGTCCTGTTGCTGTGTATTGTGACCTGTCAGGGACGTATTTATTGGTTGGTAATGTAAAAAATGAAATGAAATGTTCACTTTAATCGCCATATTTGACATTGTTTGTTTTCTGTTTCAGATCCCGACTTGCACATTTTCTCAATGACTGCCAGCCGGACCCTCGATCTGCCAGCGGGTGCCTGAAGGAGAACTATGCCGAATGCTTATTGGCTTACTCCGGCCTGATCGGTAGGGGCTCCTTGTCAGGTGTCATAATATGAGCGCTCATAATTGTGTATTGGAGGGAACGCAAATGATATAGCCATCGTAAACATTATTACACTTCCATCACCGCCACTGCAGCTCCAGCCAGGCGGATGGAAGGTCGATAAAACTACAATAAAAACCGCGTTACACAGAACAACTACTGACAGTGATCGGCACCAAGTCTACGCAATGTACTCATTACTACATTACATGCGCATTTCTAATCCACATCTGTGAATGCAACAAAATGAACCATAAAATAGAAAAAACAGGCGCTGATGTGTAAATAAAGATCAAAAGTAACAATAACTACAAAGAATAAACACAAAGAAAGCAAATGTCTTCTACAACAATGTAACCACTTTACAACTATGACAATGTTACAATTATGAAATAAAAGTCTCTCTGCAAACAAAACACATTTCTTTCCGCAGGGACCTTTATTTAATAATTGCAACATTGTCATCATTGGAAAGTGGTTACATTGTCATCATTGGAAAGTGGTTACATTGTCATCATTGGAAAGCGGTTACATTGTCATCATCGGAAAGCGGTTACATTGTCATCATTGGAATGTGGTTACATTGTCATCATTGGAAAGTGGTTACATTGTCATCATCGGAAAGTGGTTACATTGTCATCATTGGAAAGTGGTTACATTGTCATCATTGGAATGTGGTTACATTGTCATCATTGGAATGTGGTTACATTGTCTGTATTGAGAGCGGTCACATGGTTCCAGTTGACATTTCACGCACAGTTGGAATGAGAGGAAATACTTTCTGGAATGTGTGCAGAGTTAAGTTATAAAGAGACGTAACTTCATTTTTAGGGTCAAAATGTTTTTATTTTGTATAAAACAATACATAGGGATGATATTTATTCCCCCGGCCAGGAGGTGGAGCTCTAGGATATATTCTTGTTGTTACATTCACCAGGCTGCCCTTCACTGCTTTGCTGAAAACAGAAAATCTGCTCAAAGTGCCAAATTGCTGATATTGAAATGACAATCGTATGTGACTCCGTCACCCAGCTCCCTCCTCCATCCCTGTCCTGTCCCCGCTCATTGTAGCCAGGTAATCTCATAGGGAAAAGCTTGTGCTATGCTACCTCTGTACTACAACTCAAAGTGCTCTGCAAACCCAATGACATGGGTGCACCTTGCGCTAAATGTATATTGACAAGGAATAGATTCTTATGTAAATATTATCGATGATATCAGACCAATTGAATGTTGAAAGATGACCCTTAGTCATGTGATTACTTTCAGTGACATCAATTATAAAAACTAAAAAACACTTCTACCCATCCCTGAACACATGACCTCTCACTATGAGCATTGTGGTTGTTTCACATCGTTAAATACTGCAGACTGTCTTTTATTCTATGCCGGGCTGGAATCACACGTCTCCATTCCTCTTGTTTAATGTGTTAAAGTACATTGCGGTCAGGCCGTTTATTTTGAATGGGGGGGCTGCCAGTGCACACGGATGTACCCGAAAAACAGACATGCAGCATTTTTCTTATGCCACGCAACACAACACGTGCTCAGGGCCGGATTTACTCTCTCTGCTGCCCCAAGGCCAGGTTCCTCAATGCGCATCTCCCCCCAGGGCAGTAGCCCCTATCTTCATTTTGGTTGCCCCTGTCTGCCTGACATTATGTGTCCGGGTTTCTGCTGCCATGAAACCTGGACAGAGCATTCAAAATCCGGACTGTCCGGGTGAATCCTGGACAGGTGGCAACCCTACCCCCACCCCACCCCACCCCGTGGAGAATGGCAGTGCTGCAGGCTGCATACAATGTCGCCGAGATCACTTGTACAAAACGAGCGGCGGCTTCCCCGCTGTACATTTAGCTCTGCTTGCCCAACGCAGGGCTAAATGTAGAAAGCAACTACCCGCCCGGTGCCCGGAACTGCATGTCCCGGGCATCGGGAGATAGGAATTCCACACCCCTGCCGCCCCTCTACTCCCTGCCGCCCCTCTACTCCCTGCCGGGCCTCGGTTGGCCTTGTAGGAAATCCGGCCCTGCATGTGCTTGGAGGCTGCATTATTGTGGTCACATTCTAAATAAATGGCACCGGACCGCACTGATGCACACAACGTGCGTTGCAGTAATGCAGTAAGACATGGGAAGGTGTGTTTCAGCCCTCAGCCCAGGTCCCAGAAATCTGCCATTGGATAGAAGTTCTTGGACATGACCCGGGTCTCGTTTATTGATTCCAGGTACAGGAATGACCCCGAACTACATCGACTCCACCACCCTCAGAGTGTCTCCCTGGTGTGACTGCCTCAGCAGCGGCAACTACATGGACGACTGCCTGAAATTCCTCAACTTCTTCAAGGACAACCTTTGTCTCAGTGAGTACCTGTCATCGCCAATGTCTTACATGCGCCTCCCGATGGGGAGAGTCGGTCTCTGACCACACAGGGAGACTTCGGGGTCTTGAAGTCAAAATTCCACCAAAGTTTTTGGGGTTTTGCTAAAGAATGGGAGGGATCTCCATCTGTGGCCCCGCTATGTCGTGTCGACAGCCCTTACTCGGGCACGGTCCACCATTGTCAGGAAGCCGGTCCACTGCAATGATCTGCACGTAGATGGGAAGTAACTATGAGATGAATGAGGGGATCAGCACAACTGAGGTGCAACAAATGGTGAAAACAGTATTTTTATTGGAGTTTACGTCTAGTTTCAGCCAAAAGCCGTCCTATTTTGTATTAGAGAGGAGCACCGAATTAAAGGAGAGCTACGGGGTCAGGGCTTTCCCCCATAGTTCTCCTTAGGGTAACGGGAGGACACAAACTAGCGTCCTCCCGTCACCCTAGGCTCAGTATATAGGGAGCTACAGCTCGCGGTATACTGAGACGCCGCAGCCGGAGCGGATCCCGACAATTATGTCTGATCCACCCAGCTGCGTGAGTGACAGCTGGCTCCTCCTATCTAGCGGCAGAGCCAGCTGTACCCGCCCCTCCCCCGTCTGTTCCGCCAGTCAGCGCTGGCGGAGGGGGGAATCCAGCCCCTCCCCTGTCACGGCTCTCTGCACGGATAGATCGAGAAGTGAGTGAGCGACGCTATGTGTTCGCTCACTTCCCGACCTACTGAGCCGACATGTGACAGTCTCATTGTTTCATCGTCACAGGTCGGCTCAGATTATGAGGCTGAGTTTCTCATAGGAGAACTATGAGGGGGAAGGAGGGGCTTTTCACTCACCTCATAGTTCTAGCCGACCTGTGACAATGAGACTGACATAGGTCGGCTCAGTAGATCGGGAAGTGAGCGAACACATACCGGCGTTCACTCACTTCTCGATCCTGTCACGGCTCTCTGCTGTGACAGGGGAGGGGCTGGATTCCCCCTTCCCCCCTCCGATCCTCCAGCGCTGACTGGCAGAACGGACGGGGGAGGGGGTGGGTACAGCTGGCTCTGCCTCTAGATAGGCGGAGCCAGCTGTCAGTCACGCAGCTGGGCGGATCCAGACATAATTGTCATGATCGGCTTCAGCTCCGGCGTCTCAGTATACCGCGAGCTGTAGCTCCCTATATACTGATCCTAGGGTGACGGGAGGACGCTAGTTTGTGTCCTCCCGTTACCCTAAGGAGAACTATGGGGGAAAGCCCTGACCCCGTAGCTCTCCTTTAACTGAACAAACTGAAGAGAAAAGCTGATTGGTTGCCTCTAGATAGGCGGAGCCAGCTGTCACTCACGCAGCTGGGCGGATCCCGACGTCCATATCGGGATCCGCTCCGGCTGCGGCGTCTCAGTATACCGCGAGCTGTAGCTCCCTATATACTGAGCTTAGGGTGACGGGAGGACGCTAGTTTGTGTCCTCCCGTTACCCTAAGGAGAACTATGGGGAAAAGACTTAACCCCATAGTTCTCCTTTAAGCTTGCTGGGAGTTGTAGTTCTTTGGCAGCTGACGGCCTGAGGGTCTCCAAGACCCAGATAAGCCGCGCCCGCCCGCCCGGCAGCAGCAAGGCATTATCTTGCTGAACATTCACTTTTTATTTCCTGAGCTATAAATCCGTAATCCGCGACATTCCCCGAAGACCTGATTAAAAGTGTTTTCTATTCATTTAGCGGCGGAGCGGGAGAATGAAAGGGAGCAGGTAATTTTCCCGGGCTATGAACACAATCCCTTTCAGATTGCTGTAATCTTTTCAACTTCTGTATTGTAGACTTTTATCCTTCCGCTTTGTCGCTGTAATTATGCAGATGGTCCGGGAGCTACAAAGTCTTCAGCGCCATTCACACGCTCTCCGTATAACGCTCGTTTCCCCCTCCCCCCCCCCCACCCCCACACGCAGGCCTGATGATCCGCAGAGAGCTCAGACGCGGCACGGGGGGCTCCCCAGCAAGCCGGGCCTGCGTTACATCTTCTGCCGCGCCTTCGTCACGCAGACATGATTCAACATATGGAACATTAACATCACACAAAACAAGCGTAGCGGCGGGGGAACCGTTCCTCACACACATTGCAGCCAAATAAAAAATGCGTTTACGTGATAACTGAACGGATTTCGCCAACTAGAACATTCCGAATTCCATTCTGATCGGATGTCCATGACTTATGGTGAGGGGTCCAGTCTTCATTCATTAGCAGTAGTCTTTAAAGGAGAAGTATGGGGTCAGGGCTTTTCCCCATAGTTCTCCTTAGGGTAACGGGAGGACACAAACTAGCGTCCTCCCGTCACCCTAAGCTCAGTATATAGGGAGCTACAGCTCGCGGTATACTGAGACGCCGCAGCCGGAGCGGATCCCGACATTACTGTCGAGATCCACCCAGCTGTGGGATTGACAGCTAGATAGGCCTCTAGAATGCCTAATCCTAGCCCAATGCCGAATCCTAGCCCAATCCAAATCCTAGCCCAATCCTAGCCCAATGCCTAGTCCAATCCAAATCCTAGTCCAATGCCCAATCCTAGCCCAATGCCTAATCCTAGTCCAACACTGAATCCTAGTCCAATGCCCGATCCTAGCCCAATGCCCGATCCTAGCCCAATGCCTGATCCTAGCCCAATGCCTGATCCTAGCCCAATGCCCGATCCTAGCCCAATGCCTCTATATAGAACGTCGGCTCCAACTATGAGGATGAGTGAAAATCACCCCCCCTCATACTTCTCCTTTTAAATACAGCCAAGGCATTTCAGGGGGATGGGAGCACCCCTTCCTCAGGGCTTGTAAGGATGGTTTCCGCTAACAATGGTGGCATATTGGAAGCTGCATTTTGGATGTCATGGTTTCCAATCCTCTCCATAGTGCTGACTATTTGTTTATCCAACAATGAAGATTGGACCCCAGCCAATTAGTTATTTGACCTCTCAACCAGCACAATGCGTCTTTGCTGGAGATTCAGCCTCCAGATTCGTAAATTCATCTCCCTGTGAGCAGAGCAGCCAGGGAC